ATCTACAATTTGGACCCACGGTTTAGTGTATGGTTCTCTGTCCCGTGTGGCAGTGAATATAAGCAGTTTCCTGACTGTAATAACACCTCATTGAATCACTGCGATTAGGTAAAATTTCATATTAATTTTATCAATAAAGATGTTAAGAATAATGATGACCACTCGAATCAGATGCGTGTATTTCCTTCCATTTCTTCTATTCGATTGCCTTTCCCTCTCTAAATCCATGTTACTCTTCCCATTATAAACTCTCTCTTTATAAGGTATTCCTTATGTTTATCCGGAAAACATGTCAATAAGACTTTTGTGCCTCCTGTCTTTTCATTATTTCGAAAACTGGTAATGCATTTACCTGTTCAAGATTTTCGGGAGCTCTCCAGTCTTGAGTGTTTTATCTTGTATTATTCACTTATATTTAGTGTTATTCACACGTAAACCTGCAGCCTGTCTCAGCAGCCAGAGTGCCATCAAGTCTGGCACACCTGCTTTTGTTGCAACTAAATTATATCATCTATCGGTGCTATTAGTCGCCTAATAGTGCTTGATTAGTACTAAATACAGGGTAGTGATGTCTATCTCTCTCTCTCTCTCTATGTCTCTATGCAATCTAATGGTGGTTATGCTGCAACAGGAATTGAAAGATTCTGGATAGCAATATGAGTCTGTCATTGATGACTTAGAGAGGCCAGATGTGCGTCGGGGCCAGATGTGTGCCGGGGCCAGATGTGTCTACCTGACGTTCCCTTACAGTTAGAACGTCAACGAACGGCTTTTGTTGCTCAAACGAAAAAACAACAAAGTCGAGTGTTCGAGGCATCTAATGACTATATAACGGCCGGATGTAAGAGGCAGGTTCGAGGTTCTTGAGAAGAGTACAGCTATGGTGGAGATGTCGGAGGGTTGGGAGGTTATCTTGAGGTATCTTGAGATGATTTCGGGGCTTGGTAGGAGGAAGAGGATAGGGGCAGGAGGACAAACGTAGTGAGGAGGAAGATAGAGAAATTCAAAATAGGGCTGAAAGGGATATAATATGAATAAAAGATTAGGAGAGTGTAGCAAAAAAAGTCTGGAACAAGAGATAATTGAAACAAGGTAACGAGGAAAAAATAATATGCAGGAATGCATAAAAAGATAAAGAATTATGAAAAATTCTTCGATATTCTATGGACATTCTTTATCCATAGACTTATAGATAAAGAATAGAAGAAAGGCGATATATATAAATGAGAATTAATAGGCAACGTAAGTATGAAACAAAGAGGAAAGAGCCAGGAAGGGAAGGAGGAAGGGCTGAAGGAAGGGAATAGGAAGGAAGGGAGGGAGGAAGGGCTGAAGGAAGGGAATAGGAAGGAAGGGAGGGAGGAAGGAAGAAGGGGGAAGGAGATGGAGGGAGGAGGCAGAGGCACGTGTCACAAGATATAAGGTTAACACTCCCTCACACTGAAGGTCACGCCTCAGTCTTGTTGAGATGATTACAACACCTGTTGTTAGTGTGGTGGTGGGTGGGGGGGGGGTGTTGTGGTGGGGGGTGTGGTAGTGTGTTGTGGTGGTGGGGGGGGGGGGGGTGTTGTGGTGAGTGTTGTGGTGGGTGGTGGGGGGGTGTTGTGGTGAGTGTTGTGGTGGGTGGGGGTGTGGTAGGTGTTGTGGTGGGTGTTGTGGTGGTGGGTGGGGGGGGGTGTGGTGGGGGTTGTGGTGGATGGGGGGGGGTTGTGGGGTGTTGTGGTGGTGGATGGGGGGGGTGTTGGTGTGGTGGTGGTGTTGTGGTGGTGGGTGGGTGTGGTGTGGTGGGTGTTGGGGTGTGGTGGTGGGTGTTGTGGTGGGGGGTTGTGGTGGTGGGTGGGTGTTGTGGTGGGTGGGGGTGTGGTGGTGGGTGTTGTGGTGGGTGTTGTTGTTAGTGTGGTGGGTGTGTGGTGGGTGTGTGGTGGGTGTTGTTGTGGGTGTTGTGGTGGGTGTTGTTGTGGTGGGTGTTGTGGTGGGTGTTGTGGTGGGTGGGGGTGTGGTAGGTGTTGTTGTGGGTGTTGTGGTGGGTGTTGTGGTGGGTGTTGTGGTGGGTGTTGTTGTGGGTGTTGTGGTGGGTGTTGTGGTGGGTGTTGTGGTGGGTGTTGTGGTGGGTGTTGTGGTGGGGGTGTGGTGGGTGATGTTGTGGGTGCTGTGGTGGGTGGTTTTTGTGGGTGTTGTGTGGGGTGGGTGGGGGTGTGTGGTGGGTGTTGTGGTGGGTGTTGTTGTGGGTGTTGTGGTGGGTGTTGTGGTGGGTGGTGTGGTGGGTGTTGGGTGGGTGTTGTGGTGGGTGTTGTGGTGGGTGTTGTGGTGGGTGTTGTGGGGGTGTGGTGGGTGTGGTGGGTGGGTGTGTGGTGGGTGTTGTGGTGGGTGTTGTGGTGGGTGTTGTGGTGGGGTGGTGGGTGGGGGTGGGTGTTGTGGTGGGTGTTGTGGTGTGGTGTTGTGGTGGGTGTTGTGGGGGTGTGGTGGGGGTGGGTGTTGTGGTGGGTGTTGTAGTTTGTGTTGTGGTGGGTGAGGGTGTGGTGGGTGGTGTTGTGGTGGGTGGGGGTGTGGTGGATGGTGTTGTGGTGGGTGGTGTGTGGTGGCAGGGGGAAGGAGTTGTGGTGGGTGGAGCATGTAGTTCTTATCATAACAACAGCGACCATATAGTCTGGATTAGTGTGAGTGTGAGCGTGTACTCACACTGTACATACTACCATGGCACTATTCACACTCTCACAGGATGAGGGCATCTCTATACAACACAATATCATCTTCCGGGTCAAAATTTATAATTATCTTCATCTGACATTTTACCAAGACACTCTCGAGGGAAGCAGACATGACCCCCTTTGAGACCAAAATTATGCAAATAAACTATTTGTAATTCAGACTTTTTTATTATTAGTATTATTATTATTATTATTATTATTATTATTATTATTATTTTCAACCACAGACGTGGCCGCACACTTACAATGCTAACCAGCATTATATACATTTTCTTCTGTCCTCCAAGGACAGGGTAAGAGATTTGTTAAACTTATAGATTTATTGAACAATCAACCACAGGTGATTGCATAGTGCTTTTAAAATATTCAGACTTGCCAGCCAGTGTCCGGATCAGACTCTGCTCGTGTCAGCCTTCCATTTGTCCAAATTTTATGTTGCATCGACACGAGTGTTTTATTTCAATGTTGATAACACAAATGTTTAAGAAATGTTCGTCTTGAGATTTAATAGGGGGAAGGTTGTGGTGTTGTAACTGCATTGTGAGAGACGATGTTGATTGGACAACACTAGGAATCTCTGGGGTATTTGCCAGCTGATTGGTCAAGAAGTGTTCCGCAAAATGGGGCCACCTTCCACCCAAAAACGAAGAATTTTAAGTTTAAGGGGGAGGAAATTGGTGCATGGGTGAAATTGGGAAAGCCTCACAACGAGTTGGATTTGAAAGAGGCTTTGACCGTTTAGAAGAACTGAGATCTGGGACTTGGGGAATCACTGTTCTAGATAACCCAGGGGGGAAACAGTGACTGTTCTAGAGAGCCCAGGGGAACAGTGACTGCTCTAGAGAGCCTAGGGAAACAGTGACTGCTCTAGAGAGCCCATGGGGAACAGTGACTGCTCTAGAGAGCCCAGGGGAACAGTGACTGCTCTAGAGAGCCCAGGGGAACAGTGACTGCTCTAGAGAGCCCATGGGGAACAGTGACTGCTCTAGAGAGCCAAGGGGAACAGTGACTGCTCTAGAGAGCCCAGGGGGGAACAGTGACTGCTCTAGAGAGCCCAGGGGGAACAGTGACTGCTCTAGAGAGCCCAGGGAGGAACAGTGACTGCTCTAGAGAGCCCAGGGAGGAACAGTGACTGCTCTAGAGAGCCAAGGGGAACAGTGACTGCTCTAGAGAGCCCATCGGGAACAGTGACTGCTCTAGAGAGCCTAGGGAAACAATGACTGCTCTAGAGAGCCCATGGGGAACAGTGACTGCTCTAGAGAGCCCAGGGGAACAGTGGCTGCTCTAGAGAACCCATGGGGAATAGTGACTGCTCTAGAGAGCCCAAGGGGGAACAGTGACTGCTCTAGAGAGCCCAGGGGAACAGTGACTGCTCTAGAGAGCCCATGGGGAACAGTGACTGCTCTAGAGAGCCCATGGGGAACAGTGACTGCTCTAGAGAGCCCAAGGGGGAACAGTGACTGCTCTAGAGAGCCCAGGGGAACAGTGACTGCTCTAGAGAACCCATGGGGAACAGTGACTGCTCTAGAGAGCCCATGGGGAACAGTGACTGCTCTAGAGAGCCCAGGGGGGAACAGTGACTGCTCTAGAGAGCCCAGGGGGAACAGTGACTGCTCTAGAGAGCCCAGGGGAACAGTGACTGCTCTAGAGAGCCCAGGGGAACAGTGACTGCTCTAGAGAGCCCATGGGGAACAGTGACTGCTCTAGAGAGCCCAGGGGGGAACAGTGACTGCTCTAGAGAGCCCAGGGGGAACAGTGACTGCTCTAGAGAGCCCATGGGGAACAGTGACTGCTCTAGAGAGCCTAGGGAAACAGTGACTGCTCTAGAGAGCCCATGGGGAATAGTGACTGCTCTAGAGAGCCCAGGGGAACAGTGACTGCTCTAGAAAAACAAATATGGCGGGTGGTGGAATAATAAAATAATGATATGAATAAATGGAACTTTCAAAATTTGCCAAGCTCCCGGGTATCCTGTTTTCTGCTAGGTGAACAGAGGCATCAGGTGAAAGGTCGCCCCCCCCCCTAGGTCACATACTGATGACCTTTCTCAAGATATAACCCACAACAGTTACCTTACTCCCGGGAAACTGTTAACTGATTGGTGAACAGATGAATCCGAGGAAAGAAAACGTTGAGCTATTATTCAATTTAGTTATTAAATTGTATCGAAATCAATAAATGCCAATAAAGTTTAGTTTAACTTTATTGATGGCAATAAAGTTAGTGGCAACTTCGACTCTTAGGAACAAGTGTTCGGAATATTAATGTCAATATTCTTTTCTGCTTCAACAGAAACGGCCGGTTAAGGACTCACAAAACGGCAGAACATGACGCAGATTAACAGAAGACCAACGGGAGAGAGAGGAGTGCCAGTCACCTGTCATTCACTGTTGGTAATGGCTGGCATCGTGGCGGTGGTTGGCGTGGTTCTGGTGCCCATGGTAACCGCCCAGTTCCACAGTTTCGCTGACCTGCCGGGCGACTACTGCAGAATAAGGTAATTAATGCCCGCTCCTCGGCCCGTGTATCGGTATTATAGTGTTGATAATAGGAACTCGCTTCACGCAGGTCGGCGTTCAATCCCCGACCGTCCAAGTAGTTGAGCAACCCGTCAAAATAACGTCACTTTTGGCTCATATGCGGAGAGTTTCTTAGGTATTAGGAAATCCCTTCTCCATTTACCACCCCTCACCCCCCCCCCCCCCCAAAAAAATAAACAATTATCATGGCTTTTTTCATTTTTTTTTTGTTATGCAGACGACCAACGTCGTGTTGTGACGGACGGTACGACGACTGTTCCTTGCCTATCCGCGGTACACTGTGTTACTGCGACCAGTTCTGCAATAGGACCTATAATCCGGACTGCTGCCCCGACTACTGGGAGCTCTGCCTGGGTATCCGGCCTTCTCCACCGCCTGAGATTTTTGGTAAGTTCGCTGTGTGTGTCTCCCGTTGTTTATCTTCTGTTTGCCTTTCTCTTTCCAATTTCTTTACTGCATCTCGTGACTTTTGGCTCCATCACATTGCTTTAAAATATAATTGACTGCGCAAACTAGGTAAGAATGGTGTTTAATCGGATAATATCCTGGTGTCTGTATATTTTGTTTACCGTGTGACTGGGTTAGTATACCCTTTATATAGTTATAGTTAGTATATTTTTATAAAGTTACTAACTATAAAGTTAGTAATTTTATAGATAGTATACAGTACATCCCTTCGGCTGTGTCAACATACATACAAGGCGGATATATAAAGCTTTAAAAACGGCAACAAACTATCTAAGCCACTAGTTAATACAATTTAAGTCACGGATTTGAAGAAAGTACTTATGTCGGTGTATTTTGAGCAATATTCGATAATACATAATTTAAACAATGAAATTGAACTAACATTGGTACAGCGTTCGTTTCGGGTGACCCGGAACCCTGGTTCGATCCCGCAGTCCTGCTTCACACATTTTCTCAAACAAAATTTACACAAGTTGATAATCTGTACAATATATTTAACTCTGGATTAAAAGAAAAAATTTTGCTTCGTTGAATCTTTCTTGCCAAGTAATTTCAATTCCATTGCCTTCGTAAGTGAAGCATCTCTTCGTCAATGATTTTTATACATATAAATTCACCATTTCTATTGGGTTTGATAGGCAGGGCGAGTTGCTTGGAAAAGTTTGCTTATTCCTTAAACCTGAGGCAAGACAGAGGAACATCCATCTCCTCCACATTGGGGAAATGAAAGAAAAGGAAGATACTTAACATGTATAAGATTCTAAGGAAAATTAACTAAGTAGGTCTAGGAACAATAGACCTAGAAATAGAAGAGCTGTCACCATGAACCCAACTGTTACCGAACACTCAACCCACACACCTGAAGATGAAGAGCCGATGACGTCTTTATCTCTCCCATTATGAAAACGTCATAAATTCTTCATTTTCAGATGAGTGAGTTGGGTACCAACTCTTCAGCCACGTGACTCATCACCTGCTTTATTGTTAGTTGTAAATAAGGTTCAATGGGTTTGACGGAGGTACTGTGGAAGCTAACTCGATATACATTTTTAAATATAAATAGGAAAAAAACGAGGAAAATGGGAATAGGTAAATATGAAAAAAAACGAGGCTCGCTCTGTCCCCCCTGATCATTCCACTTTTCCTGTGTCCTTAGTTATAAAAGTTGTCCTGATAGGAAACAAGGAGACAGGGGAGTGTTGCATCAGACGAGCTGTGGGGGGAAGTGAAGGCTCAGACAGGGAGACTGTCTCGGGGGCTCTCTGTTATGTAAATAAACTACGTGAGTGCATTCCCGTGACGGTGCTGTGTCACATGTGTACACGCTCTCACATGTTCATATGTATAAACACACACAAGCATGCGCTCTGACCCCACCACTCACCGTGACCCCAACACACACTAACTGAACCAAGAGCTCTCACCCGAACACGTGCTGCGAGACACACACACACACACAGACACACACACACACACACACACACACACACACACACACACACACACACACACACACACACACACACACACACACACACACACACACACACACACACACACACACACACAACATCACATATAATGAATCTAAATACTGAATATCTTAACACTTACAAAGTGTTTGTATCCGTTATTCTTGCTATTTCCTTTCGACGTTTCATTCATCGTAAACGTCCCATGATAACCCGTTTTTTGTTGCATCACTTGAGCTCGGCAGCAGCAGCAGCAGCAGCAGCAGCAGCAGCAGCAGCAGCTAAACATTTATCTCCACGAGACGAGAGACTGTTATATTTTAACACAGCTGAAGGTTTTATACCCTTGGCAACCGTGAAGATCAGATGCAGCCACCATTAAACTCCCCTGAAGGGGAAATAAATTCCCCGGGGTCCTATTAATAATATTTACTCACAATTCTGGCATTTGTGTCGTCGGGACAACGTTGGTGAGTCATTTATCTGGGAGGAGGAGGAGGCAGGCTGACCGTAATTGCCAGCTGCCATGGCAAGCGCCAAACATTTGGCACTGGTATTAGTGGGTGGCACTGACTGGCCTGAATGGGTAAAGAGATGAGGATTGTTTGTAGGGGGGGAACCGGATCTTATGTGACCCTAACATCACATACTCTCAGGCTGACAGAGTCCTTGTGAGTCATATAAGCAACTAGATGGAGGGTATATCAGCCACTGCCTGCGTCCACCCCTAAGAGTGTTGGGAGCCCCTCCCCTCCCTCCCAAATGCAAATTAACATCTTTATTATATAGAATGTCTGGTTATTTTATATAGACAGACGGGCAAGCAGAGAGAGACAGAAATCCTGGTGCCGCCTGAATCTATCTAGTGAGGAAAAAATATTAATTTACGAACATTTTAGATTTATGCAGTAACGCTAGACTCCCTCGAGTATATGAAGCGTTGAAGAGTTTGCCTCGAGAGCTAGAAATGTCGTGCCAAGCCTCACCATCTTGCAGGATAGTTAGTGACACGGGGCCATGTGATCAGAAGCCAGTGCTCACAAACACTGGCTGCATTTTGAGGATATCCTGAAGTTATGAAAGTGAATAAAATTGTTACAAAGCTCTAGGTACCTCATACCGAAAGGTCTGAAAGGTCTAGTAATTGTAAATTTAGTGACGTGGTATGTCTACGTCTTTGGGCAACTCTTTCAGCATGAATTCGTGACGGAATATACACACGGAGTGTTCTCGATTGGGAAATAATAAATATTTAAAATATTTAGATAATTTTAAATATTAAAATATTAATATTAAAATATGAACAATGTTAAAACTCTGTGGACTTGGCCTCTAATATTTTATCTCCACCGACTTTATTGAGACTGATTCACTTTTGGTGGTCACCCTGACCGCCTCTGTGACAGTTTAATAAGGCTATCCCCACGTGTCTGGTCTATAACCCTGGACAGACAGACAGACATTCTCTTTAATATATATAGAAATTCACCAGAAACCCCTTTTAGTCAAAACTGGGTCACCTGGGAGGCTGTCTCCACTGCTACATAAAATTGAGTTAAGTGTTTGAGTAATTCCCTTAAAAGTGCAGATACAACATTAAAGATCTAATATCAATCTAAACATGAATTAATAAACCCAGTATTGATCCCCATAACCCGTGATAGATTAAATACCAAACGCTAAGATTTGAATACACAGAAGCAATGATTGAATGGGTATCTATTGAGATTCTTTTCAATAGTTTTTCCTTTATGGCTGACCGCATTCTACCGTGATATCACTGATGTTGGTCCTTGAGTCTCTACACCTGCGAGGGATGTCAAGAGCAGACGGACTAGCAATCTGAATATCTGGTTCCTGGATGGCGGCACATGTCTCCTGCTTGCACATCTCCGCTGGTGAAGTCCTAGGAAAAGGATCTGAGTCTCTTCTATTCCCTATATAAGTGTGAAATAATATCATCCATAATAATATCATACCCATGGCCTTCCCCCTCCTCTTACTGGAACAGGGAGTTCGAGACGTCTCTGGCCAAGTGTCGTATTAGCCACACAGTATTAACTTAAACTTACTTTATGGACCAAACTCTGGAACCATACTGTCAGAACGACATTGTTCTGCCTGCAGTTGTTCACCCCCTCGTAAAATGCCCCGATTTTCAGGATGATCGTAGGTCATGCTTTCCCGATGTTGCTTTGAGTCGTTTACCCCTTTAACGTTGTTTGTCCTGTGCTTTACTACTCTCTTGTCCCCTTCTTGGGTGATATTTAGGACCTTTGAATATACGGCGATATTGGTGTCGTCCAGGCTTGGTAACATATTTTGTTATTTACTTAATGGCGGGGAGCCGGTCGGCCGAGCGGACAGCACACTGGACTTGTGATCATGTGGTCCCGGGTTCGATCCCGGGCGCCGGCGAGAAACAATGAGCAGAGTTTCTTTCACCCTATGCTCCTGTTACCTAGCAGTAAAATAGGTACCTGGGTGTTAGTCAGCTGTCACGGACTGCTTCCTGGGGGGTGGAGGCGTGGTCGAGGACCGGGCCGCGGGGACACTAAAGCCCCGAAATTATCTCAAGATAACCTCAAGAAGATGGCTGTGTCATATTGTCTTCCTGACTTAGCGCTTTGTTTTGATAATTACTTTGATAAGACTATGCCCAACCACTTGGACTAGACGGTACAGCGTTGACCTCGCTTCTTGCAGGTTGTCGGTCAAGTGATTGGGTACCTTACCTTTCCTCGGCTCTATCCTCAATCCTTATCCTCATATTCCTTATGAGGATAAGTGATATGTAGTCGTAATGGCTTAGTGCTTTCTCCTGATAATTTACTTACCCTTGATAAGACCATATTTGTATTTTATAAATACTGAGCAGAAGTGAATCTTAACATCTGTAATTACTTATTGTCCCCAGGGTGCTACAAGGAGGGGCTGTACATCCCACACGGTCACAGCATCAAATTCAACTGCAACGAATGGTGAGTGTTTCTTTACGTGGCCCAAGAGCGGTGTGTCTCCTCAATTATGGCGGCTGTGTGCTTAATGAACGGTTTGCGAGCTCTGAAGTGCTTCGAGGTTATCTTCAACAATACTAAGCTTATCTCGTAGCACTTAAGAGCTCGTAAACTGTTAAATAAATACAAACTAAGCATCTCTGTTCGAGGTAAGAGGTGGAGATCTCGTAAGATGTTACGTAAGTGATTGTTCGAGGTAAGAGGTAGAGATCTCGTAAGATGTTACGTAAGTGATTGTTCGAGGTAAGAGGTGGAGATCTCGTAAGATGTTACGTAAGTGATTGATACATTTGTTTACCTGGTTACCAACACCTTTTGTAAATGACAGCATCATTACCACCACACTGAGACTGGTGTGCTTTTATATAATAACTAAAGTGAATATTGGTTAGTCATTCTGTTAAAATTTCTTACTGCTACTTATAAGTATATTTACTTTAAATATACTTTTTTTATCGCCATAATTGGCACTTGAAACTTTTAATTGGCCAAGTACGTAAGAGGAAGAAAAAAAAATCTTAAAAGAAAAATTGTATGTTTGTGTTAAACTTCATAATATTTTGGTTTGCTTAATTTAAATGAAAAGAAATATTTCTTCAGTATTAAGCATTATTAAGAAATTCTTATTTTTTAGAACGATAATTACTCAGCAAGCAAAGGAAGTGTTAAGAAATCTGAAATCTGAAAAGAAATTTCAGAAATCTAAAATAGCTCAGAGGGTCTGGATTGTGCAATAATAGTAAAACTCTTCACAGAGAGTAATCATTCTATCGTGAATTATCAATGATGAAGCTCTCATGTGGCCAGTAGAACTCTAGGTTGCAATCCTTTTGACCATGTTGTGGCCTGATTGTCTGGGGCGTGTGTGGGGGGACTACCCACTCATAGGTTCGTATCCTCATCACGGCTCCTACGGATTTTCTCATTAAAACTGTTGATGAACTCTTGGTACAAATAAAACCCTATTTCATACCTCAAGCGTGATCGTGAGAATCGTAAGTGGAGGCGACCGTTCTTTAAGGGTGGTAATAGGGCCAACTACGACCTGTCAATGACAGTCCCTTACCATCCATCAGTCACCTAACAAAATTGGGTGAGGCTAACCCTAAGCATCTAACCTTAGACAGACAGCATAGATAGATAGATAGATAGATAGATAGATAGATAGATAGATAGATAGATAGATAGATAGATAGATAGATAGATAGATAGATAGATAGATAGACATATGCTATTTATCCTGCAGGTGAACCAAGTCTTGCAATTTCTCTCTTCCCACCTCTCGTACCTCTCTGAAACTCATAGAACTAATATCTAATGATTGTGTTGACAGCCGGTGGTACTGCTCCCTGTCACGCCTATATATACCCTCCACTGCCTCCATAGACTATTTATCCTGCAGGTGAACCAAGTCTTGCAATTTCTCTCTTCCCACCTCTCGTACCTCTCTGAAACTCACTCTTCTCTGCTCTTATATTCAGCTCAACCATTTGAGAACTAATATCTAATGATTGTGTTGACAGCCGGTGGTACTGCTCCCTGTCACGCCTATATATACCCTCCACTGCCTCGGGCTCTCAGTCTCGCGTTATTGGCTTCCGGCACGTTATTGTGACTCACTGGTCTTGCAATACTAACGTACACCACCTTCGTCACCGTGACGTAGCGCGTGCTCGAGCTCGCGTGCACTCGGGTTAGTGTCGGTGTTTAAGCAGGTAATTCGTCGAGCTCAAGGTGACTGCAGAATGGCAGATGGAGGACGACTTCGTGAAGATATAACTTGAGAGTCGTAGGCTCGTAGTCACCAAGGGTTAGAACAACACAATCCGATGTAACATCACGTCTTCCAGGATTGTTACTATCCTACAAGACGTCCAACACTCCGTCCTTTACAGGGTCGGCGTTCGATTCCCGATGGTCTAAGTGGTTGGGCACCGTCGCTTTGCCCAGTCCTCATGTACATTTTGTGTGCTATATAGTCATACTGGCTTGACGTTTTCCTCTCATAATGACCTTACCTGACACACAAGGTATATACACTAAGAGGTATATTTCCTAAACTTTGTTCAGTATTAAAGTATACTTGCCGGTTATACTTGTTGACTTAATGATCCTAGCAGTCGAAAGACGTTACATATTAACGATTGTTGATGTTGTTTAAGATTCGCTACCATGAACAAAAAGTTCCAAGTAGCACGGGCTATGGTGAGCCCGTAGTGCATATTAACGAACTTTTATGACGCTTAAATAGATCTTAGAGTAAATGAAATAATTTTTTTTATATGTAAAAGCTTGAAGAAGATGTGAAGTAATTTTAATTGCTTACCCAGTGGCTGCAGAGCATTAGAATAATTTTTTTAGCTGATATCTATATATTAAGCACTTTTTTGTCTAGTAAACTGACCTAGAAGACATGTTTGTGTATATAGAAGTAAGCGGATTTGTTTTGTCTAACTAGATGCAATTTCTTTCAATTTCTTTCTTTATTATACACCTCATACCCATGCCGCGAGACGTACGAACCCAACCAACCCACCTAACCTTTCGAGACCGATGCATAGCAAACGTCGGTATTAAGGTGTTTGACGTTTTTACGGTTACGGCGCATTTTTTGTTAACGGATTCGTTGATTCCGTAAGAAATACGACGTATTAGATGAGAGGAGAGGTTGCCTTTATTTTTCTTCGCCTTCTACCAACGTATTCACAAGGATCACTAAGTTTTAACAACGAGAGAAACTTAGCTCTAAAGATTTTAAACGGAATTAGACATTATCTTGAGGTTATCTTGAGATGATTTCGGGGGTTTTTAGTGTCCCCGCGGCCCGGTCCTCGACCAGGCCTCCACCCCCAGGAAGCAGCCCGTGACAGCTGGCTAACACCCAGGTACCTATTTTACTGCTAGGTAACAGGGGCATAGGGTGAAAGAAACTCTGCCCATTGTTTCTCGCCGGCGCCTGGGATCGAACCCAGGACCACTGGATCACAAACCCAGCGTGCTGTCCGCTCGACCGACCGGCTCCCATTATTAGATAAAACGTCAACAAGCTGACGATCACGTTTAGTCAACGAGCACGAATGTTTTCTCCGGTTACCTCCTGAGAGAGACAACACAGGCTGCTTCACAAGTTGCAAGACTTGGCCACCCAGATCAACCACGCAACCTTGAGAAATATCAATGGGGAGCAATTTTCATTGAGGAGGGATTCAGCTGTCCAAGATGTTGGTTGCTCTCTCTCTCTCGGTGAGCTTCCATCTAGCTAAGAAGCTGTCTTCCATCACCTAAGATGGTAGTCACTCGCTCTCTCTCTGTGTCTCTAGCAGTCTTACTAAGACGCAGGCTGCTCTCTCGTTTAAATGATGGCTGCCATCTCTCTTTAAGATGCTAGCTGTTCTCCCGGCACCTGGCCAAGGTGAGTTGTCGCCAAGACGCCGACCACTCATCTTGCTTACCTGGCCAGTTCATCACTTCTACCACGTGCTGCATGCCACACCTACCACGTGCTGCGTGCCACACCTACCACGTGCTGCGTGCCACACCTACCACGTGCTGCGTGCCACACCTACCACGTGCTGCGTGCCACACCTACCACGTGCCACACCTACCACGTGTGGCACGTCACTCCACACATCAACGAAGATGTAAAACTATATTTCAGCGCTTTATTTGTTGTGTAATGCCAGTGACATCGTCGGTTAAATATAGCTGTTAGATTATTAATATTATTAATAAAATTATCCGTTGTCGGGAACAGGAAGCCTCTACATTGGTTAATAGAGGCCTTTGGTTAATAGGTTGCATCTTCATGATGCAATCCACAACAGTTCTCTAGCTCCCAAGGTACCTATTACTACTTGGTGAACAGACGCATCAGGTGCAGGGCTCCCTAGGTCAACTACTAACCTTCCCCCAGGATACAACACAACACACATACCTGTCTCCCGGGAATGTTTCCCAGGATGCGGCCCCACAACAGTTTCTAAAACCTATTTGCCTTCCAAGGTGAAAGGAATCGTGCCCGACCAGTTCCGCCATGCCCCCAGGGATTGATCCCGCGTCCCTCGATTGTGGAGTCGAGTACGAAGACTGCTGCGCTACAGGATTGCTAATATATTGCAAATATGCAGTTTTCGTTTGTCAATACGTGCAATGTATAGCTCACGGCAGGACACGTGAATATACCATTCGTGGGCCGTCATAGTCTGGTTGGACGTAGAGCGTGCTTGCACACGCGTATAGCTGTCTAGTGCGTGCTTGCACACGCGTATGGCTGTCTAGTGCGTGCTTGCGCACGCGTATGGCTGTCTAGTGCGTGCTTGCACACGCGTATGGCTGTCTAGTGCGTGCTTGCACACGCGTATGGCTGTCTAGTGCGTGCTTGCACACGCGTATGGCTGTCTAGTGCGTGCTTGCACACGCGTATGGCTGTCTAGCTATAGTTTCGTGGTCTAGTTTAGTGCTTGGTTCGTAACAGTGTAAAAGTTTAGTGATTGTTTGTGTATGATTGTTTACACTGTTACTAAGCCTAGTGTGAGGGACTGTTTACACTGTTACCAAGCCTAGTGTGCGGGATTGTTTACACTGTTACCAAGCCTAGTGCGAGGGATTGTTTACACTGTTACCAAGCCTAGTGCGAGGGATTGTTTACACTGTTACCAAGCCTAGTGTGCGGGACTGTTTACACTGTTACCAAGCCTAGTGTGAGGGATTGTTTACACTGTTACCAAGCCTAGTGTGAGGGAGTGTTTACACTATTACCAAGCCTAGTGTGTGAGGGAGTGTTTACACTATTACCAAGCCTAGTGTGTGAGGGATTGTTTACACTGTTACCAAGCCTAGTGCGAGGGATTGTTTACACTGTTACCAAGCCTAGTGTGCGGGACTGTTTACACTGTTACCAAGCCTAGTGTGAGGGATTGTTTACACTGTTACCAAGCCTAGTGTGAGGGAGTGTTTACACTATT